TCTCTCGCTGCGTATCACATTCATTCAACGTTTTGATTTCCATTTCGTATCCCGATTCGACACTCTTACGTAATTTCATCCGGCGATTTCGGAATTCGTCGAATTTTTCTTCTCTCTCTTTCTCTCTCTTCTTCTTCTTCTTCTTCTCAACCACGCATTAATTTCGATCCGAACGACTGCTCACCGTCCTTAAGTATGCCATTCGTTAAACACGTAAACACGATTTGGGATGTCAGAGAGCGTCACGTGATCGACGATACACCGCGCCACGGGTAGATAGTCGGGAAAAGCGGTGTATACGGTACTTTATTTTACGAGGCGCACTTATTTCGGGTCCCGTGGGGAACTGACTGTACGAAATGAGCAAACGTACACTGGCGGACTTGTGCACTGACCCACATTGTCGTTGCATAACGGGACGTCTTTCGAAATATTCGCAAGTTTAGTGGTCTCGGTCTCGTCCACCGACGACGGTAACGCTCGTAAACGGAACCCCTGCAGTCACCGAGAGACGCGAACGCGACTGACGCTTACCAAGGAGAGACGTGCTCGAATCAACGATTTCTCATCGCTCGAAGGAAGGGAAATTATCTCGATAATATTTTGATCAGTTTCACCGAAAAGATAAACAAACGAATTACGTTTAAATTTTCGCTCGCCCGAGAAAGTACGTACAATCATCGATACGTACAATGATTAATACATTCATTTATTTGTTCGTTTGAAAAATTTATGGATAAATGCCCGATGTTGCAAAACGGAAAAAAGGAAGCATAGTTTGAGAGAAGTTGTATAATAGAGAAGCAGTTAGAAATTTTTAACTATTAATAACTATTGATCGAGAGATTCGGCGAAAAATATATAAATTCGCAAGATTAAAGAAAAGCGTGGAATTATATATTTCTTTTGAATGATGTTATATATTAAGAAATTACAAAATAAAAAAAAAATAATTAATAATAAAAAAAAATCATAGCCCTCGGGTAATCCAAAAAAAAAAATCAATTTAATTAAACGATCAAATTTGCAAAATCGTGCGATCTAGTTATTGGATAATTGGTTTGGATGATATTGAAAAAAGTCAACTGGAAGAGTGTAGAGTTACGAATGAGAGCGCGTGCATGCCTCGAGGAGTTCGAGAAACGTAGCAGATAAAAATTGTTGATAATTTTTTAACAAAAAAGTGTGCATCGATAGACTTTTCTATCGTTTTCAAGCACTCATCTGATAACGCATTCGGCAAAAAAGTATACCCAAGATATACCTCAGAAATGTTATATTGACTTTTTTCAATATTTCGCGATATATCGGTCTGTTTGTCGCGCATAAAGGAAACGATAATCCTTAATTTCAAAGTATAATTTCGATAAGTTCGAATCCTCGGTAAGAACGTGGATTCTGGAATAAGGGGAAAGATTGAGCTCCCGACAAAACTACTGGATGGAAACGTCACCTAATAAACGATCTCGTAAACGTCGGATCGCGAACGTCGGCGGCGTTGAATTGGTCTGACGCGCGTAGAAATGACACGATCGCCTCACAACCCCAGAACAAAAACGGCACCACGATCGTCGAAATAAAATACTCTTTATGACAGTCGCCGCCGCCGCTCCGAATCCCTAACGCCATTGGCGTAAAACTCGGGCGTGACGATTGCCACGAATAACCTTCGAGTAACTCTCGAAGAAGAAATTCTTCGAGACAAGAATTTTTTTTATCCAATGTACAAAATTGAATCTGATAATTCGTATAATTTAGGACGAAATCTTGAAATTTCTATCGAATCATTATATACATATATATATGTATATATATCGATCACAAAAAACATCGATCGAAATTTTTAAAGATTACGATTCTCCTTACTATAAATAATAAACTCATTTGTAAAAAAAGAATTATAGAGTATTAAGAATATTCGTCAACGACGACGATATTCTGATCGAAAGGCATTTTACAGCAGCTCGAAATCGGCTGGAGGATAGAGAAACTTAGTTGATGTAAAATTTTTGCAAAAAGAGAGAATGGTACGACGAAGGACGACCGGTGCGGGAGCGGCGGTAAATCGGTGGAGTTTTAATTGACAGAAATGTTTGGCGATAATGAAGGCAAGGTGGAAGGATCCGGATAAGTCGGAGATAGGAGCGGAACAGCGGCCGCGATGCCAACGGCGACCGACAATGGTAGCGGCGGTGGTGACGGTGGCGGTGGCGGCAACGGCAGCAA